AAGCATAATAAATACCAAAAATATTTCTTTTTCGAGATAACTGTTTCTTATTGGCTAATCTGCGTCAATTCGTGTCATACTCGCTTATGATTGATCAACTTGTTGACCAAAAAAGATCTGATTTATTTTATTTCCTTTTCGCTCCTTTAACACGATCTTAACAGTAGAGCCTTATTTTCATAGTTTTAATCATCCAACAATCTTTCACAACTTCTCAACTCCTTTATTTTAAAATCATTTTTTTCCAACTTTATGTTACAACATATGATGATAACTATCTAATGGCTTTTTCTTATTATTTGCTAAAATTAGATGTTTTATGCATTGTATATAAACCTTATACTAATACATATTGTTCCTCGCTAATCAAATTTTTTCACTGTATAGACTCACACGAGTATTCTTAATAAATTAATCTTTTTTACACTTGAGTCCAAACTTTTTCATGTTTTTGGTTTCTGTACATATACATTACTTCACGTTTTTACCGATAATATACTTTTAAGACAAATTTTTGTTGACAATCAACCTGTAACAATTCTGCTTCACAATAACAGTATAATTGTATTCATATTTGCATCATATAACTATCATAATAAGTGTTTGTTTCTATACTTGTACATAACTTGTTTGTCTTATAGGAAAGAAAGAAAGAGAAGAAGGAAGCATTATAAATCAATTCGACGAGAACAGATCGTAACTTCGTACGGATTCATTCATCATTACACAAGATCAATTATGCAGATTCAAAAAAATTAAAAGCCAATAACAAATAATTATTACTATCCTTGCCCAAGTTTTTATTTGTTTTTGCAGAGAATAAAGAAGCAATACAATATTCTTTTTGCAATAAAACGGGAAAAGAAGGAATCACTCTCGCCTTTTCGATCCGACCCCACGATGCACAGCCGCGAAGGCCTCCACATGGTTTCATAACCTTTCGATCTCTCCGATCAAACTAGATCGCCGGTGTATCATCAACGTCATGCCCCAGCCAGAGATTCCGTCGAATTTGTACCCACGCAGCGGGCAACATCACCGTGAATCCGATCTCCGCCGTCAAACTCAGACATCGTGAGATTTTATCAGAATAAAATTAAAAGCAATGAATCCAAAGGCAAAACAAAATCAAAGGAGAAGAAGAACAAAGAAAATCAGACACGACTCCGAGGAATTGAACCCGACGACCACACCATCGCGAACCCATAAGTTTCCGCCGCGACCCAACAAATGCAGCAGATCTGCCGCAAACAACAACCTCCACAGCTCGCAAAACTCCGCCGCGAGCACCCAAAGTTTCTCCGACCTGTAACCTTTCCGCGACCTCCATGTCTCCGGAACTACGTAGACTACCATCCACGCGTCCTCCTTCGGCGATGGTACTTTTTCTCTTCTTCCATATGTTTTTGTGGTTTATAATCTTATAGTGTAGAAGCCTGTTTGTTTGCTACTCATACATGTTTTTATGGTAACATATATTCTTTTTTTCTTTTCTTCTTTTTTCTTATAACTATTCCACGTGTCTCTTCTGTATTGGCTTGGGGATTAATTTGAAAATCCAAAATTCCTTCATCAAACAGGGTGCCGCTGGGTGCTGTTGTTGTTGTAATTTATTTTACTTTCAATTTTTATTGTATTATATAATTTAATTAAGTTATTAGGGTTTTAGTAATTGGGCTCTTGAGCTGTATATTTCTACCACTTTACTAAACCTATACCACACTTCTAACTTAGCACCCCATAGTTTTTTTGTTTTATTTAGTCACTGTTAGTTTAGTTAATAATTTTAGTTAATTAATCATGAAGAATGGTTAATTTTGTTTCATTAATAACACAAAAACAATAACAATTTTAAAATATAATTAATTTAATATTTTACATCAAAATATTAAAATCCATGCAACTCACTAAATTCACCATCTGCGAGCGACACGTGGCCAATATTTGACCACGTGATAAAGAGATTATATCAGACTCCCCCCGCAACATCAAACTATTTTCAACTAACATAACAAAAACTACAAGATATTTTCGAAAAATGATTAAATAGCATTGTCTTCGAATCAAACTGCGAACCACGTCTACGATCACTCAATTTACAACCCAGACAAAGTTCAAGGATAAATTCGAAAGCAATTCTACACAATCCATAAAAAACACAAACCCATCATGAACTACGAAATGAGAGTCTGATTCCTCCTAAGAGGATACATAGGCATACTATTAAAACTGTGGCGAGTTTCCCTATTAAAACTAAAACCCTTTTTCCTCTAATAAATAATTAAAATCCTATTTCCTTAAAGATTACACTTCTAAACCCTAGTATCCTTGTGAATAAGGTAGATGAGGGGTGTCTAACACCTCCCCTTCGTATAAAACCGAGTCCAACAACCTAGAATCTCTAACTTTTAGGGTTATTCCTTTATATTTCCTTTCTGAGGATAAAAATTAAGGGTGGTGACTCTGATTTAAAAACCAGTTGCAATAATAATGAAGAATGTGCTACCATTTTTCTCTCGGCCTATAATGAAAATAAGAAAAGGATGTCAAACCATCAAAATATGATGAGATTTTTCTTTCAGGCTACTATAATGAAAAGAAGAAAAAGGATATTAAACCATCAAATTATGATGAGGTTTATCTCTCGGATACTTGCTATGAAAGGAAGAAAAAGATTGTAAGTCATTTTAAATATGAACATATTGATAGATTGTCTCATTCCTAAATACAAGATGCTTTTGAAAATCCACATAGAGAAGTGATATAAACTTTTAAAAAGTTAGCTTCAAATAAAAAAAATATTTTCATACATGGAAGCTAGGATTTTAAAAATCAAAAAGGAAATTGAAGCTCTATAACAATTTATGATAGATGTTAAAAAAGTACAATATGAGAATGAAAGACCCTCATGGTTTGACTTTAGGTTTAATACTTTTCATATTTGGCAACAAGAGGTTAAGTATCTAAAAGTCAAATTAGTTAAGACTCTAGAATCAAAAGTAACGTTTGATATTGATACCTCTAAATACAAAATGCCTCCTTATAATCCTTATAGAAGATATAAATTTTTAGAAAAGGAATCAAAGGGAAAAAACTCATCTCATCAAAACTTGATTTGTCACTATTGATGTGTAAAAGGTCATACCATTGCAAAATGCATGCTTAGGAAGATTTTATTTTCTAAATGAATTTCTCAATGGTTTCCTAAGTACAATCAAGGTTTCAATTATCCTCAAGGACCCAATGAAGATTGGGTACCTAGTACATCTTGTTGATTTTGCCGGTAAGATGTCTTGGCTCTATGAAGAGAATATGGGTTCTCTTTTGTGGTAGCTCAAGGTATATCATGAGTGACATCTCCAAACTCTATTGACCATGTGGAAAGGAAGAAGGAGTTGTATGAACTTGAAAGCATCAAAAAGTATTCTTTAATTTGGTAAAAGGCACATGGTACTCTGTCAAAGATAAAAGCAGAGAAAATGTTTGTGTCTAAAGATTTTGTCGCACTGCTTTTTATTTGTTTCAACTTTCGCTTGGGAGTTCCTTGTGAAATTCTAAGTGCATTCTTTATCCTTCGTACGCTGAGGTTATATCATTTCAATTTTTTCGTTTGTGGGTAAGGTGGTTCTTTTACCTGTTTATTTCTCTAAGGAATGTGATGTATTTGGTTTGTGATATGTATTATGAGTGTTAATTTCCAAAAATCTCAATTGATAACTATAATATGATTCAATTCATATGTTTACAGTAACCTCATCAGACCATCCTCACATGCATTATATGTTGTTTATATTTAATATTTGCATATATGTGTATGCATGTTCATTAATGTAAAATCATGAAAGATGTTCCTTTACATATGTTTCTCATAAGCATTCATGCATAAGTCAATTCATATTAGCCAAAACCTACTCAATATCCTATTTTTCATTATTTGCGCTTCATGTGTTGACACGTGATGCGTATAGGTCGACTCATATTTTAAATGCTTTAGAAATTTTGAATTTTGGTTAAGTATGTGTTAACACATATGTCGTATGTGTCGACTCATCAATTAAAACTTTAAAAATCTTGAGTTTTGGTTTAGTATATGTCGACACAAGTGTAGAATGTGTCGACTCATGACCTGTACAGGTTAACATGTGTGATTAGGCGAGTCTTTCATATCAGATTTTGGGTTGTCTTTTCTTATCCATATCTCTTCTACATTCATGCACCTATTTTAATTCACTTTTCAAATTCAAATTTTTTGTCTTCATCACCTTGAATTCTACACTAAATCATTTCAATCCTCTTTACTACCTATCATTAATCCTTCATATTTCCAACATTTCATTAAACCTTCACAAACATTTTTCTCCCTGTAAAATCTTGACAATCATAGTTTCATATCTCACCCAAATCATCAATACTTTAAATTTGCATTGATCTGGTGTCTAAACTGTAATTTGTCTGCATTTTTGCACATTCATATCATAGTTGGGTTTATGTGCATTCATACTTTCCTCAAACATTAAGCCTATTCATTCACACATTGTATTAAACCCCTTGTGTGGGTGCTCTATTTGGTATTTCAACTATGGCCCCAAAGACTTCTAGAAGCAAAAGTGTTGCTAAGGGAACATACAAGGTTGGTACGTTCTCAAATGCTCCAGAAACTGCTTTATCTTTGGTTGACAAAGAAATTTTCTAGTTCTTTGATGATAAATGCTGACATAGGATTCTGGCCAAGCAACATGTTTACAACCCTAGAGTGGTTGAAGGGCTTCACCTTCATGAAATTATGAGTCACGATGAACATTAAGGAATCAAATACTTTCTGCAACTCTCTCAAGATTACAACGAGGATCTCATTTGAGTGTTTTATGCCGGATTGCATAAACATCGAGGATATGAGTTTATATTCTGTATGGGGAGGTAAGGACTATACTTTTACCAATGATATGAAAAAAAATAATTGTTTGGCATTAATATAGTAGGTGCTGATGTTGAGCCTTTGGTAACGGATACCAACGTTCATCAAGACTTTTGTTAGAGAATGCATATGAATGAATTATTGGAAGCTCCCTGAGGTGATGACAATTATGATGACTTGTCTACCGAGCATTTGAAGCAAGTTCTTCATATCTTGCATTAGATTGTTTCACATATATTATGCCAAAAGAATGATGGGTATTCTCGGGTTGACCAAACTGAAGTTCATCTTGTCTATATTCTCCTTCATAATATCAAGATCAATTGGGAAAATTATTTTGTATCTCGAATGTTTTCCATCAGGAAATGTAAAAAAGGAACTTCATTTTGTTATGTTTCTATGTTAGAAAAAATCCTCAACTTTTTCAACATTAGGGTTTCTAATATCTTGTACATTTCATCGGGTCAAAATCAGGAATTCACTCAATGCACCTTAACCAGCATGAGGTACTTTTGGGATAAAAGCTTGAATATGTACTACTTTCAGCCGAAAGAATCAAACAACATGATCTATAACTTTGATGACCATGCTGAATTTGAGGATAATGATGATGTTCCTGGGGTTGATGAGAAACCAATTGGCGGTGCTCATCAAGACGATGTTCACATGCCTGATGCCGACTATGAGGAAGATGAAGCATGAGCCAACTCTATAGTGAATTTAGAATGGGGACAATGGCAACAAAATGCTTGGACACAACAAGGTGATGGTTATAGAGGGTTTGATGGAGGTTCTCAAGACTATGGTTCTGGTTCACATGGTAATGATTTTAGGACTGCTAGAAATGAGTCGGCAATAATTTCTATGCTTCAAAACATGTAGGTGAATTAAGATGAGTTCTATGAGGAAGAAACGCATTCGAGGTATAATTTTCAGGCTGCTCAAGAAGAGCGTTTTCAACTGGTTCAAGATCACTTGACTACAAATGATACAAATTTTGATGCCTTTGCCTCTTTTGCTACTGAGTAGTTTTCTGCAATCCAAAGTGAAATAGGTACCACAAATGCTCCTTTGTAGACGAGGATTAATATCATGGTGATCATGGGTGTTCAGAATCATGAGGAGTCCACACAATTCTATCAAGAGATGTGTGATTCCATGTATCATGGTGGAAGGCCACTACATAGGGGTCATAGAAGTCATAACGATTTTTGAAGCTTTTGAGTCTTAGGTGTTTTGGTTTAAGGTATTTTAGTCATGCATTTGTGTCATGTATTTTATGTTTTGAATCCATTTTCATTTTATGTTCTTTCATGCTTCCCTTCTTTGGCGTATGTAATAACAAATTTTATCACTTCTTCAAAGTGAACTAGAGGTTTGTGCTATATTTATCCTTTTATGATAATATTTGACAATGTTGCTATGATATTGATTGGTATTA